CCATAATTAAACAGTGGAACTTTCAGCTCTACTTGATGATCTCTGGGTAGAAGGGAAAAGAGCTGGAGATTGAGTTCATCACTAATTGTCCATGGCGTCAGTCATGCTTATGTAAAGAAACCTCAGGAAAAAAAAATCGCTGAAGAACAGAGTTCAGAGACCTTCTGGTTTGGTAGACACAATGAATGCACCCAGAGGTGGGATTAAAATTTCATGTTTCTCCCCAACCCCCACTCTGCCTGAATCATAGAAGTTTAATAGTAGGTAAATCACTTTCTTGGATTTGGTGAGCCATTCTAGAAAATTATCAAGACTGAAGAGGGATTGTGGTAACTTCTGACTTAAAGCTAGTCAGAAGTATAAGTGGTAACCCAGGAACTAGTGTCTGAAGTGAGGTCAGTTTTGAGGGACTAATCTCTGAACCTATGGGGTCTGTGCTAATTCTATAGAATTAAATCATTGGGACACTCAGTTGTTATTGGAATGTTGGAGAATGGTTGTCATCACTTCTTCCCTTTGTCTATCTTTTGGAAAAATCCTGAGAATTGAGGCCCTAGAGAACAGTAAAAATACAAGGTTGAGGTAGATTGTGATCCTAAATAACAGATGACAGGCTCCCGACCCAGCTGCCATCGCTCAAGCGCCAGGAAGGTAGCCACGCAGGCGCCCCTGAACCCCCATAAGCACCCCCCCACACTCTCAGACCTCCTGACTGTGCCAGTCTTTGGATCCACTCTGCAAAGACAAAGGTGGTCATCAAGGGTATTTTTCTGAGTTCCCAACTTTGAACATCTTGAAAGAAAGGGCATGGGAAACCTGTAATAGAACGTTGTGGAGTTCAACCACTCAGAAGGATGGGGAACTCAATCTGGGCCTTGCAGCCCGAGGTCAGTCAGCGTCAAGGGGTTCAGCCAACAGCTAACTGAGATCAGGGGTCTTGCATCCTCGCTCTGTCTGAGCCATTAAATGGTAAATACACTATATTGAAATTTTGTTCACTGCAGACATGTTCTGGACTGCTTCTTGATTTCAATTTAATTCAAATGATTTAAGGGTGATAGACTAGTGACTACCACAGATGGTCAGTGTCCAAGTTGTGCTTGATCTTAATGTGTTGCTGATTGTATCAGTTGGGGTAAAGCATTACCGTTGATTTGATGAGCTGTTTTCTCTGATGTTATGAAGATGAGAATGTTTGTGGGTCTTTAGACACACAGAAGCTAGGGCGCAACTATATCAGGAAGATTTGGGTGATAATCCAGAGATTAAACCAAGGACAGTCCGACAACAAAAATTAAAATGAGAAAACACTTAAGCAAGACACAAGGACAGACTTCCAGTTCACCAATGGCAAACAGTAGGGCAAATGAGGATGCAAAGGCCGATAGTGAACTACCAGGACACCCTGAACTCAAAGCACAGGAAGTAACAAAGCAGATCAGTCAGGCTCTAGAAAAATTCAAAACAGAAATAATTTCCCAGGTAACCATAGAGATAGTGAGCAAAATGGAAGTCATGATTCGAGACTCTAGAGCAGAAACTGACAAAAAAATAGATGAGCTCAGGACCACGATAGAAGCCATGAAGGCCCAGCATAAGAAAGAAATGGAAAAAATAAACGCCCAACATAGGAAAGAAATGGAATCCATAAAACAGATTCAAACAGATATCCAGGAGATTAAACACTCTATTGAAAGTGTACGCAACAGAATAAAAGAATGCGAAGATAGGCTCTCAGATATAGAAGATAAGTTTGCAGTCAGTGACCATGTAAAGAGAGGTCTCTTAAAAACAGTAAGAGATCATGAGAAATCGATCCAACAACTCCTAGATGATGCAAAGAAGAATAACATAAGACTGATAGGAATACATGAAGTAGCAGGAGAAAATACAAATGACTTTAAAAAGCTGTTCACAGAATTAATGACAGAAAACTTCCCAAACAGAGGGGAAGAATTTGACATTCAGATAACTGAGGCATATAGGACCCCAGCTAGCTACAATAAAAAAAAAATCTACACCTAGACATATAATAATCAAGATCCCAGAAACCCAACAGAAGAACAAAATACTACAAGCAGTAAGAGAAAAGAAACAAATCACATACAAAGGAAAGCCCACCAGAATCACAGCAGACTTTTCAACACAAACCCTTGGGACAAGGAGAGCCTGGAATGAGATATTTCAAGTACTAAAAGAGAACAACCTCCAACCTAGACTGATGTATCCAGCAAAACTCTCTTTCAAAATGGATGGGGAAATAAGACACTTCCACGACAAAGAACACCTGAGAAACTACATGAATACCAAACCAGCACTACAAGGAATTCTAAACAAGATCCTAGAAAAAGACATTGAAGGCAACAACACCATGAAGCCCAACAGAGCAAATCAAATAGGCAAGGCAAGAAATTAAGAGAAGTTGAAAAAGTAAAAAGAGTCAACAAAAGGCCAATAACATGTCAATAATAAGTCAGTACATATCAGTTATAACCAGCAATGTCAATGG